CAACGAAGGCTGAGGAACACGATGTCTATTGCTAGGGGGTGAATCAGTGCGAGAGTCTGATATTCTTCTTCTCTTGAATTAATTAAGCAGCAATCTCGGGTATCTTTGTCTTCACAGCTATTATCTGCTTTTCCCAAACTGCTCCTCGAAGGACCATCCCGATGGGAGTGAGGGAGTGAGTTCCCACTGCCACCCTGCACCCACAGACCCTCATTCCCCCGTGACACGCAAGGAAACAGAGGCAGAGAGGTGGGAGCCAACCTGTACACGAGTACTCTCGCACCTCCAGTTCCATGGTGCCCGGTTCACAGCAGAGGTCAGCAGTTCCCCCCCAAACCCCTTGGCACTTGCAGGGTCTCCGCACACCGGAGCTCCCCGGCTCACCCCCTTGGGACCCTGCCCAGATGCCAGGGGGATGCCTGGCTGTGGGGCTGCAGGGAGGGCAGCTTTACACCACCATTCCATCTATCCACTTTTGCAGTCACTACTGGCCTATTTTAGCTCTTTCCTCCAGGATTTTAACACCAGAACCCGCCTGGAGTTTGGGTGGGAGGGGAGGATGAGCTTTGCCTCCGTCAGCAAAGCCTCCTAAAGAGATGCAAGAGACTTCACCCAACTCATGGAAATGTTGGTCCTGGTTCCCAGCTGGGGAAACTGAAGCAAGGAGTGAGGGGAAACCCCTGCCTGGATTAGACATGTGGGGACAGCAACCAGCAAGACTTGAAGGTCTTGCATCCCCTTAGCTCCTGCCAGCTGCTCAGGGTTCCTCAGCACCTCCAGAAAGCAGGCTACCTGCTCAGGAGCTCAGCTTCAAGCCGTTGGTTTTAGGATAGCTGGCCCCAGCACCACAAAATTCCCATTGACAGTTTTAGGGGCAGCAAAGTGCTTACCAGCATCCCACCATCCGAGCCACCCCACCGTATGCGTCCGACCTCCCTTGCCACCACCATGTCCTCACCCACCACAGGGAGAAAGGATACTCAAGAAGTGCCGTGGAGCAAACCCAGCTTCCTACCAGCAAGTCCCCGGCCCCAGTGCATCTCCCCTCCGAGCTGGAGCCAGGCTGGGGCTGCTCAGCACCCTGATGGGCCACATAGGCCCCGGGGGATCACGGCTGGGTTGTGCAGAGTCCCTGTCGTCTTCCCTGTCCCAGTTGTCGACTGAGACCAGTTCTGGGTAACCGGAGCTGTAGGAGGTGAGAAAGCATGTCCCCACCCTGAAACCGAAGGCGGTCGGATGCTGGCGGGGCCGGAGGGAGCCAGGGCTGAGCTGGACACGCTGCAGCCCAAAAGCAGATGCCTGAGCAGGGGAGACGAACTTTGCCTTTTGGCCCTGAGCTGCTGGGGTGAGGGCTGAGCCGTCCCGCAGCCTCCTGGCCACCGCTCACCCAAACCTCTCCGTGCCCATGGGCCACAGCCACCCTGGGGGCGGATGCTCAGAAACTGCGGGTTTCTCCCTGCTGCCTGTAATCCGTCTCGCCCTGATATAGCCACTGACCGGGTGGGCATCTAAATTTAGCGGGATGAATCCTGCCCTGTGTTTGGAGCACTGGTGCCCTTGAGACAGCAGGATGGTGGGGATGGGGCCGTAAGGACAGGTCCCCCCTGCGAGGCATGGCCCTGGGACCACAGACCACCTCCCGCAGAGACTGGGCAGGTAGCAGGGGAGTGGAGGGAAGAGATGGGAGCAGGGAAATGGCACACTCTGGCTACCCTTGCCGAGGGCCACCAAGGGCAGGCGGGCAGGGAGCCCGGGCAGGGTCTGTCCCTCGCACCCCTCGGTGGGTGCTCCGCGGGTCCCAGCCGCGCTGCTGAGCACTTGGGCACTCGTGACACTTGTGAGCGGATCCCTCCGGGATGCCGGGGAGAAGCCGGCGGGGAGTGCACACAAACGGA